TGTAGGTGTGCGCGTTCATTTGTAGACGATTTTATTTTTATCGGGTGATCGTTCCAAATCAAACATGTTTGATTTTGAACCGATGAGCCGATGAGCCGATGAGCCGATGAGCCGATTTTAAGGCCGCCGCACACCTACATCGCTTCATCGCTTCATCGCTTCATCGTTTGTAAAATCGGCTGGTGTGCGGCGGCCTTAAACGTACTCACATACGTAGACGTGTACGTAGCAGAGTGACAAGTTGTCCAGATCTATTACTCTGTGCTCGCACACAGTCAAGGTCTCTGCACACCTACGTACGCTACGAAGTGTGAACGCACGCGCTCACGCGGTTGTGTACGTGAGCAACGAACACGAATAGTTATCCGCGCACACACACTCTCTCGCACGCACACACGGTTGAGGGCACGTGCACGCATGCGCGCACATACACGCACGCGCTCACATACACGCATGCGCTGATATACACGCATACGTGCACGTACACGCATACGTGCACGTACACGCACGCGCGCCTAACACACGCACGCGCGCACATACATGGATGTGCTAATGTATAAGCACGCGCGCACGTGCATTCGCTGACACGTACACGCATGCGTAACCACCGCACACCGTACACGTGTCTGGGTGTGGACAGACCTGACGGGCGAGCCGTCTAGGTTAGTCCAGTGACGAGGTGCCGTCACGACCCTGACTACGTGCGCTTCGAGTAACGATCAGGCTTTGTACTCAGGGGGAGTCTCGCTTCCTTGCGTTAGTGTTGATATAATGTGTGAGCTTCGTGGCTCGTGTCAGCCGCAGTCATTCTCCAAAGTAACTTATTTAAATCGGAATTTGTTCCTATGAAAATCATTATTCCTAAATATTTAATATAACATTTCTAATATTTTATGTGATTTTTTAATTAGTAAAACACACGGCTCATATCATAATGGCTTTCGCAGATTCCTGTATGTCAATGTAAAAGGAGTAAATAGCATTGCTATTTGTTACGACGTGGAGTTGTTAATGTGTCGAATGTTGGCAGATTATAAATATCGTGTAAGTTGCATACCCTCGTAAACGCATATGTCACTATTTTAAAGGAATCCATGCAAAACGGTCTGTGATAATCATACATAAACCAGAAAATAACCAATGGCACAACAAACATTTTAGTCCGCGTAATTCATGGTTTCCGCACACCAGTCTAATTATTGCTATTTTATTTGGGTATAGTTAGTAGTGAAATATATTTTGCTCATATATACTTATCGATGCACCTAAACTAAAAAATTGTTTTGCATATCGACAGCGTCATACTGGGTCGATGATGATTGGTTTATATCAGGAGAGAACTAGATACAGTGATGATAAAAATGTTGTTTTTCTGTTGTATAATTACGTTATTTTAATAGATACGAGATGTTAGAACAGATGTGATACGACACCTGCCTACCTAGGAAAGAATTTAGCATTTTCTTAGTAGGTTTAGATTTTCTCGCAACAGTTTTTAGGCTAAAAATAGAAATATTAGTTTAAGAGTGGCTAAATATTTATTGTTTGTGATCATGAATGCTGCACCATATTTTAATAGATAAGCGGATATTTTCCAGCAATTTCAGGAAGGGCTTCGCTGCATCGGTGCCAAACTGCATAGGTGTCGCAAGTGCTGGCCATGCTCTTACTACTCATACTTCCAGAACATCACAGCTAGGTTAGCCGAAGCCATAACTACCTGTAAGTAATTTCTTAAAAACCAAATTTGGATTAAAGACGTCACCTTACTACTTGTAACCTCTAATAAATATAAATTGTATAAATTAGCTATATTCGTAGTTTGCGTGTGTCGGTTGAAGATACAAACGCATACTCTCCCGAGCTTGGCTTAAAGCAGACGCAAAATTCCAATCGCCAAAGTTTCTACCAGGTCTACGAACACCACTCTACTAATTACTACGAGCACTAGGGCTACTAATACGACGAGGTCGATCTTCGCGCAGGTACTAGGCTCTCGCTGCAGTCGTTCAGTCGCTGCGTGCGGGACCACCGCGGCGCGTTCCTCGCAGGAGACGTGGCGCTGGACATGCCCGCGATGTCGCTACGGCCGAGTGTGGCGGTGTTCCGCAGCGCCGTCGACACGGTCATGCGCAACATGCTCGACGTCGCGCTGTCGCTGCCTAGCTGGGAGGACGCGCTGCGAAGTCTAATGGTGAGTGCCTGGTTAAATTCACTTCTCTCGATGTGGCCACCGGACTATTATTCTGAGTATAATGTGTGTGGACTGATTGCCGACTGTCTTCAATCGTCACAGCAGGATAGGTGAGATAAAGTATGTCCACGCGCGCTATCAAAGTTATTGCCGTTTTAGAATGAGTGTCGCATTGCCTGTGATAAAATCGGTAGTGAGTACCGACACTACTTTTTACAGAAAAAAAACAATAGTTTAAAATCACGAGTAATTAGGAACACGTTTTAATAGTCGAAAATCGATGTACGAGCTACGACCAAATGTTTCTTGCTGGATCAGGGTCAAATGCCTACGCAAGTGAATCCGGCCGTAGGCAGCGCTTACGACAGCCATGCTAAGCCGAGGGCTCCGTCGCGCGCACGCGTGGCGCCCCCTGCTGCGAGCCCACTGCGGAGGGCATCTATGCCAGTTTATCAGCGTCACAAGCCTCTCGGCAAGACGATTGAGGAGCTTCCAGAGGTTGTCGAGTGCATGGCTGCGGCCAGCGCCGCACTGGAAGGCCATGAAGACAAGATGCAGAGCGTCGTGCGCGAATTTGACAAGTTCAGTGAAATTTGGCTAAAGGTATTACAAGCTTACAATGTAATCTTCTACGTGAGGTGCACTGTAATAGTGTTTTTGATAGAGCGTTGACATTTTTAGCTTTTAGAGATAGGGTGACGTGGTTATCCTTAGATATACGTTAGACTGAAACAATAATTCGTTGATGACTGTTTCTTTTAGGACCCAAAAGAAACGGTGGCAAAATTCAAAGAAACGAATCCCGAATTTCTCGAGTATGAAAAGATTATTGACTACTACAATGTGAGTGTACAATACACAGGGGTGGCATATATCGAACCTTTTCCATCTTATCGTTAATTACGCGTCATTACGTGAACATATTCCGGTCGGTGAACAATGGAGAAATAAGCCACATATGATATTATAACAAAACTTTATGCATGCGTCGGTGTATTTTTTCAGACATATGACAGCAAAATTGACGACATACCAACTGTGTACAACATTGGACCTATTAAATATGAGACAGAGGCTGTGAAGTATGCACTACGTGTGAGTGATACGCGGAGTCGCCACGCTTGCTTTACTTTACGTGTAATTTATACCCATGAATAAGGATGTTAAATATATCTGTGTTTTTTGCGTCATCTAAGTTTCTCTAACCATTCAGTAGGTTCATTGTTCATTTTTCGGCTAAAAGGGTTAACCACGTTAAACAATGTATACAAAAAACCAAGTCATACGAAATGCATGACGTCATTATTAATTAATTCTATGATCATATTATTCCTAATTGTTTCCTATTGTTTATTAAAAAAAACATTCCAGCCATAAGGTCCATATCGTTGCTGGAAGTAATTATAATTTACCAAGGTAGACTTTACTTGTTCCTTTGCAACAGGTTGAGGTGAAAACATGGCAGCAGACATATGCATCCTGCTTGCAAACCAATGCCAAGAACACGCTAGAAGACATGGCGGATTTCGTTAAACAGATGGGGAAAAAACTGATAAAACCAGTAGCTAGTATTGGTACGAAAACCTCTTTTGTTACAATAAATAAGCAATGCAAACCAACATAACATTCTCTTAACATTACAGAAATATATATATATACATATATATATATACACATATATATATATATTCATTTTCACAGAGATTGTGGACAAATTTCAGCTTTATTCAATAAATAAATGAGGGTTAACCTTTAAAATATGCGTTTTCCCGGAAATCCGACTGCACTGACTTTAGTTGATGATGATGCATGGGTGATAGCATTTAGTTGATGATGGGAGGTAGCATGCATAGATTATACATTTATACATTATACTTAAGTGTATTCGCCTAGTCTTTCTGGCGCATCTAATCAACAAAAGTATATCACAGCTCCACGTTAAGCCAAATCAACAAGAATTGATTGTGATATTATATTGAACGCGTTCACCAGGGGCAGTTTATAAAATAACCAGATAGACGATGAGTTTCAATATTAGTTTTTATAGCTAGCCAATGGTAGCTGTTGCTAAATCACATATTGTGAATTTTCGCGACGCAGGAGATTTTTGTGAATATGGATATCGAGATATTGTTGGCGCTGCAAGAGGCGAGATACATGGAAAAGCTGAAACTGAAAATTCCAGACTCTCTACACACCCTTGTGCTGAACGGAAATAAGATCAAATCTCTCCGTGGCAGGTAAGAGTCCTTAAACGCGCAGGCTTAGTTTGAACTATTGCGATTACTGCCAATTTAGATTAATTTCACATTAGTAGCTGATTAAGATAAAACCAAAAGAGCGGTAATATTTAAATGTTCCAGCAGCCCTAATGTGTCATTAAGTAGGTTTTATTGAGACTGTTTTAAATTGAGAATCGGAGAGGATAATTCGAAGTTAACTAGCACATGCTATAGAGACTATTCGAAGATGATGCTTATTGCAGACTAGAGCAGGTGATCGGAGACTACAAGCAAAGCCTATCCAGCATACCGAACGTACTGAGGTCACTATTACGGCCATTGACTGCAAAAGTGGACCAGGAAATGTTGATTGGGTTGACCTCTCTATCATGGATTTCCATCAACATTGAACAATGTCAGTAATATCTCTCCAATTATATGCTGCCGGCAATGTATCGATTTCTACGTTTTATGTGATGGCCTACCACGGAGGGGAAAGAGCTCAGGGAAGTTAGCTCCTAGTTCCCAGTTCCCAGTTCCTTATTCGAATAAGGAACTAGTATGCGCCTACATAATTATCTCCGTATTCCTGCAGAGAACGTACAGGATCGGCTGTCTGCTCTTGACGACGTGCGGCACATGGAGATGGAATTCGACCGCGTGGTGAAGCCCATCGAGGACACGTACGAGATGATGGCGCGTCACGACATCAGCGACGTCGTCACGGACACCGAATACGTAGAGAACATCAGCTACAAATGGAAGCGACTCGTCGCGCTTGTAGGTCAATTATAGGTCACGGTATTACGTCGGTTACTTAGCAGTCAACGCTTTCACACATCATACTCGTTGGTCACGTTGAAGTCACGCTAGCATGTCGTGGACATACAAACGTATGTTTGCGTTCGGTACGGTGATACTGCAAGGCCATCGTGTGCCCACGCAGCAGGGTATAGCGACCACGATCTGCACAACTAGCAGGTAAAATGGCTGTAGCTTACACCACGGCTTGGACAGAGATCATGTAAGCCCGCTGTCTATCCCCGATGCTGGTTTCGTAGATGTCCAGTAAGAATGATATATCTAATACTGTTTGCACGGGACCGAGTAAGCAACCCGTATAAGAGTGTGGACCGATATGTCTACTGCATGGGTAAGCATTATTTATATTATTAATGCGATGAATGTACCGCTAATTTCAGGCACGTGTGGCGCAAGACAACCTCGTAGTAATACAGCCAGCATTAAAGGCAGACCTCACTTACAAGATTGACTTCTTAAAGGAAGCAGTGGAAGCCTTTGCAAATGATTACAATACCAGGTTATACATCGCTGTTCTAGCGTAGACATTCATTTCAACATACGGATAATTAAGGAATGTCTTTACTTAAATGTGCATCATATTTATAACATTGCTACTAACTAATTCTAAATAAAATTGGCACCATATAAAGGTATAAGGTAATTATATCTGCATATGTTTGTGTTATAGGGGCCCCATGGTTCAAGGTCTTCCACCAGATATTGCTCTAGATAGAATTGCAATATTTCAAGCAAAGTTTGATGAGCTGTGGGCAAAGCACACGTCCTACTCATGTGGTGAACAACTGTTTCATCTGGAAATATCAGAATATCCAGAACTCACACGCATTAAGAAACAGCTAGGTATAACCAGTTACAGGCCAGAATATATAGTAACCAGATACTATAGATAGGCGCTTATGTGTAGTGGCAGACCTGAAATTCGTACATATATGCCTCGGTACTAGTATGCGACCGCGTTAAAGCTACTAAGCAGAACAACCTATTTGCGTGCCTGTTATTAATATAATTGCACCGATTCATTTTCGCCAAGGATATCTTACAAGAACTGAAAGGGTTCTCTATATTCTTCGTCACCAAACTCAAACATGAGTATAGCGCTACTATGGTACTAATTGGTGACGGTTTGCGATTTAGCGTTTCTATCCCATTTCTCATGAAGGCCTTCTGCAGAGGTTATACCAGCTGTACAGTTCCGTGATCACGACTATGGAGAGGTACCAGAAGATGTCGTGGCTGTCTATCGACACGGAGAAGCTCGGCCAAGACGTACTTGACTTCCAGAACAGGTGAATACGCACAGTCGGATTTTTTCTTCTTTTTTTGCGATGCCAGATGACCTCGGAGGTCAAATCCAATGTACCCATGACATTCAGCATCCAAAGTTACATCTAATGGCCATCCTTGGACATATATAGAGTGGCCCATATTGATTTGAATCGAGAACAGACGAACAGAGAAACTTCCACAAATATGTATTAGATTAACGCAATGCCACATTGACTGCATTATTTTACGCAACATTGTCCTATACATGCGTTTGCAGGGTTGCGAGTCTCGAAGAGCTCATATTATAAATGCAACTCCTATAGTTGTGTGTAGGTGTTCTGATTTTGTTTTACAGGCTTATCTTATGTTGCCCCCATGATTAAACCCATTTAAAATGTGAATTTCGATGAACAAGTAGTGTAGCTGTGTGCGTGCCTGCAGTCGAGCATAATTGCATTGTGTCAAAACGTTAGTATTGAAATTGAATAATAATTATGTTAGATGATACGGGCACGTTGAATTCGTAGTTGTTGGAAGCTACCGAAGTCGATAAAGGAGTGGTCAGCCTACAACGAACTCAAGAAGAAGATCGATGATTGGAACGAGACGGTGCCCTTGCTGGAGCTGATGGCAAACAAAGCCATGCAGCAAAGACACTGGGACAAGTACTCCATTAATCCAATTTATCCTCTGTTAATTCAAATTATCCTCTGTTATTCTCGGTTATTCTCTGTTAATCCGACGAGCTATCCTCTGTTATTCTCGGTTATTCTCTGTTAATCCGACGAGCTATCTTCTGTTACTCCGGGTTATCTTTCGTTTATCCAAATTTTCTATGTTAATTAAAATTATTCTCTGTTAATCCGAGTTATCCGCTCTTAATCTGCCTTATCTTCTGTTAATTCTATTCCCTAAGCATTTACTACCAAGATTAATTTAACCATAGATATAGAAGAAGATAGATCTTCTAGATAGATAGATATATCTATGATTTAACACTACCAAAGCGGACCCGACCGCACTATCTTATATATCCTAGGCGTCTCGCCCATCCCTACAAATAATAGTTTAAATTGGCAACCCCTGCCAAATTTAAATTATCTATATAGATCTATAGAACCAACAAATAATAAATAAAAACTGGAGTTTTGAAAACACATTTGAACCTTTCTAAAAATGTTACAATTAAACAATGAGTTTAATAAGTATTCCCGCATTGCTGTTATGTAGAATTGCATTCGTGACTGGCTATAAACTGAATGTCAACATGGAAGGCTTTCTACTGAAGGATCTAATGAACGCCACACCGTTAGAGCACAAGGATGACATTGAGGCATGCATCCCCTGGCGATATTATTGTGCTGCGTCTATTCACTTTAGTTAACTTTAGTTAAGTGACGGCCACAGGCTGTGACGAAGCTTAGTAAAGTTGCTTTATTATTTGTATGACGTATGTACACGCCGTGATGTAGACGCATGTAAACACTTATTTCCTAAATGTCTAGTAACATTCATTTCGTTAAAATCATTAGACTATCCTTAATTTGTTATTTCGAAAGTTCGAAACTTACATAGAAACTGAAAATATGGATTTTTACAATGAATTTTAATGAAGATGGTTTTGAATGTCCAAAGTATTGTTCAGATTACCGACCTTGTCCTATGCAAACCTTATGTACCAAGCAAACCTTTCGGTTCTTCTACGTTTCCATGCAATATAAAGGTGAATATTGATTTCTTTGTTGGACAGGAAATCTGCGTGTCGGCAGTAAAGGAAAACGACATCGAAGGCAAGCTGAACTCAGTTGTGACTGAGTGGGAGACTCAAACCTTCTGCTTTACTCCATTTAAGCACCGTGGAAACCTGCTATTAAAAGGTGAGAAGCCAAGTTACATAATTTGGAGTATAACGATCGGCGTAGTAGAGTAGTAAGATTGGGAATGGACTATTAGTGTCGTAAAGCACGCAGCAACGATCACGAGCAACCGTTGCGGAAATGTTCGTGATGGAATGAACTGGCTAAAGCAAGGAGAGGGTAGTTACCGAAATAGATCACGATATGGAAACCAGGGTAAATTTGTACTTTTTACGTCATTACTAACATCTATCCTTCTTCAACAGTGACTTCGCCCTCAACGCCGCCCACGTTTGACTGGGTCACCATGCCTTCTTTACTAATTAAACTGCCATACCCTCTTTAGTCTGTAAGCATGTACCCTGTATACTGCTGATACTGTCATGACCAACATCTCCGTTATTCACACCTAATCGCTTACGCAGACATACAAATGTTGCTTACTAGCGTCGGTCTGTATGTGTTAAGGTGAGCACATGTTGGAGCTGATCTTACTCATGGAGGATAACCTGATGCTGCTTAGCTCTCTCATGAGCAACAGGTGAGCCGCGTTCTAACTCATCATTATGTTTTTCGTTTATATAATTATATAAATAATTAATATTTAGAATTAATATATATATATATATTCCGTTAATAATATTAATGATTACGGCTATATATATCTTATGCCCATGTTTAAGCGGAGCTGCTTATATAAGAACGAAACACTTCACGTCGTTTTCGCGCGAAGGATTAGTGACGCGCTTGCAGCGATCGCAGTGTCTCAAACACACTTTTACACACCCATGTATGAACGTACGGTGCATTTGTGCGGTTCGATTACAGATACAACGGCCCGTTCAAGCTGACCATCCAGACATGGGTGCAGAAGCTCACAGGCACGACAGAGGTACTGGAGATGTGGATGGCCGTACAGAACCTGTGGGTGTACATGGAAGCTGTCTTCGTCGGAGGTGACATTTCTAAACAATTGCCGCAGGTGAGGCAGCCTTTCAGCTGATAAAGATCGCATAACGCATTTCAATGCGAGAAATACCAAACCTAGATATGTTTAGAAAATATATTAGCATGAACTTATAACTAACATCTGATGTCCAGGCGGGTCCATGTTTTCAGAGAATTCCCCATAGGATTTAGCGAGCAGTCGTAAATGACGTGACCCTATCAGTGAACGTGATTGCAACGTCCCTCATGTCCGTAGGAAGCGAGGCGGTTTCAGAACATCGACAAGTCGTGGTCGAGGGTCATCGTGCGAGCGCAGAAGGTCACCAACGTCGTGCAGTGCTGCGTTGGCGACGATTTTCTTGGCGTGCTGCTGCCGCGACTGCAAGACCAACTCGAAATCTGCCAGAAGTCGCTCAGCGGCTACTTGGAGAAGAAGCGTCTCGTGTTTCCTCGCTTCTTCTTCGTGTCCGATCCGGCCCTGCTGGAGATCCTTGGGCAGGCGAGCGACCCTCACACCATACAGGTGAAGCTCACCGTAGCTTAAGCCTAGCGCAGACTTGCGACTTTTTCAACTGCAACTCGTAGCAATTCTGTCTGGTCGCTTGCAACGAGTTGCAAGAAATCAAACTGGTTTGACTTTCAGCAACTCGTCGCTCCCAATCGCTCCGAAATCGCGTCGAAATCGCATGTGTGCGCACACACGGTGAAGTGTGCGACCGATCGCATGCGGTTGCAGGTTGCAGCGACGAGCAACCAAACGTGGCAAGTCTGCGCTAGGCTTTATGTGAAGCTGACCGCTGCGTGTATCCGCCTAGTGCACACCGAGAGAGCGTGAACACGAATTTTTGCGGTTTTTTGAACACATTTACTCGGTCAATCGGCGAATGATCTTCTCATGTTTATTTCAATAAAATTCTAGGAATCTCAGTTACATGGCCCAAAAATGTAAGCGGACATGCATAACCGACTATAGTTTTGTGGGCACAACAGCCAACGGGTCTCTCTAATGACTGACTATATCGGAATACTATAGGTTAATATTATTATATGGTTACAATGCGTGTCATCTTCGTCTCGATTCTTTGCATCTGCGACGACACAGGCTCACTTACTCAGCGTGTTTGACAACACCAAGGCAGTTGTGTTCGATGATGACGAGTACGAGAAGATACTAACGATGGTCTCACAAGAGGGAGAGACGATAGACTTGGAGCAACCCGTTTACGCTAAGGTATATATCCACAACATCCGCGTCGGTACGACTAGATGACAGCGCACGTAGATATCTCACGACGACACACACACACACACACACACACACACACACACACACACACACACACACACACAAATAAGGAACTAGTAACTAGGCAAAGCAGTTACCAGTTCCCAGTTCGAAATGCAACATTGAACTTATTCAGTTACCAGTTCGAAACCTAGTTACTTATTCGCCTATGCCTGATCCGGAAAATCAATAAACGGGCCTTAGAGCATCAAACAGAAATGATTTTCGGGATCATGGTAAGATGCAAAGTCGTGAAAGCTAATTCTGAATAACCTTTAGGTACTTGTAAAGAACCAAATAAAATCATTCAATGGCCTATAGGCGAATAAGTAACTCGGTTTCAAACTGGTAACTGAATAGGTAGCTGGGTGGCAAACTGGTAACTGGGCGACAAAGGGTTAATTTTGGCTCTGAATGACTTTTAGGTCCTTGTAAAGGGCCAAATAAGATGATTTAATGGCATATAGGCGAATAAGTAACTAGGTTTCGAACTGGTAACTGAATAAGTAGCTGGGTATCGAACTGGTAACTGATTAAATAAATGTGTGCCAAAGGGTCTCACGGAGTGCATACCTCCGCCAGCGACATACGCCATACGCCATACGACTCACGAACACACGAATAACCCACGATATACGCCAGCGTACTGACACATACACGCTCCCATGTAACATGTATGTGTTAGTAGCTGGCTCGCTGGGCTCGTTGGCTTGCTGACTCGCTGGCTCGCTGGGTGATATCGATCGACCGCCAACGACACGCCAAACGACTCGACGCGCTAATATCGATCGCGCGAACACACGAACACACGAACACACTAACACACAAGAGCGAAAACATAACCTCCTCCAACTCCGTTGGGCGGAGGTAATAAAATACAACTACACAACTTTATACAGTTATACGTCAATAATGTACGGTGATTTAATCATAGACGTGAATAAACGTTTGGGATCTTTGTTTTGTGTTTTCAGATGTTTCCAGCATGGAGAAATCCATTCAGTTGTTTAGCAACAGCTCCAAGCCAATAATTGACATCGCGACTGCAGGACCGAATGATCTGCTGAGCATCGTGGCAGAGACACCGCTGTGTCACCTTCCCACTGACGACCGTCGAGAGCCTATGACTATGGCTGAGTTCCAGAAGGCATACGCGGAAGCATGCAGAGATGGAGCAGCAGAAATTAACAGGCACGAGCATCCGGATGGTTGAATAGATATATAGACCGATGGATGGATGAATGGATGGATGGATGGATGGATGGATGGATGGATGGATGGATGGACGGACGGACGGACGGACGGAAATATATATATATATATATCACTATTAGGCGAGGAGACTAGCGCTCTAATTCGAATGGCTTTATACCGGTCTGTAAAATTAATTGCAGGGAAATGTGGAAGTGTGGCTCGGAGAGTTTCTAAAGGCATCTATGCGGAGCATCCAAGGCATCGTCAACAACGCCGTCACCGACATGGACGGCGAGAACTTCAACATGTTTGACTTTCAGACAAGCTTCCCCGCGCAGGTAGGTACCAGACGCAGCATCACTGCAAACAACCGCATCCTCTCCGCGTGAAGCCAATTCATCGAACGAACGAGAAGAAATAGATCGACTGCATCGAAAGCATATAATCGGCAATTCATCGAATGAAAAATCCAATTTGCCGGTTGAGGTAATTTAACGAAGCGCGCTGCCGATTGCAGGTGGGTCGGTTAGGAATGCAGGTGATGTGGACGAAGGAAGCCGAGGCCGCTCTTCAGGTAGCGGCCACCGAGCGTAAAGCGATGCACGCCACGAGCCAGCGCTTCAACGACATGCTGAAGCAGCTTATCGACATCACGCTGAAGGAGCTCATGCCGATGGACCGCGTCAAGTTCGAGACTCTCGTCACGATACACGTTCATCAGCGAGACATCTTCGACGACATGGTGTGTAAGCAAGCAGCCGCGGACGATCTGCATCAGAAAAGTTCAAATCGCCGCCATACTCTATTAGCCATGGTCGAGGGCGCGTGTTAACCGCGTGGAGGCCCGTTGTCAGAAGCATTACAAGTAGTTGTGAGATCATGACATGTACAAGATAAGTCTTAAATGTCGCAAACCTTTAAAGTGATGTGATCTTCAGAAGTTGTGATATTTCAGACTTATGATAGTCATAATTAGTAGGTGTGATGTTTTTAACAAAGGGCTCCTGAATAGCAGTGCAACGACGTGGCAATGATTTGCATTGTATTATGCGAGTTTGCAACCGGTAGTTGTGCCATCAATGCAGGTTTACTATACACATATCGTCTTCAGATATCGCCTACACGTAGGTTTCGTTAGACTATTCCTGCCCTATTCATGCGGGGACAATGAAACTTGAGAAGACGAGCAACTAATTCGCGCGTCCTCTGGTGTTTAATCGTAAAGGTGAAACAGCACGTGACGTCGCTGAGCGACTTTGATTGGCTGAAGCAGTCTCGCTTCTATTATCACCACGACACAGAGCAGAGCGTCGTTTCCATCACCAACATCGACTTTCTCTACCAGCACGAGTTCCTGGGCTGCACTGAAAGACTTGTCATCACTCCCCTCACTGACCGGTAGGTGTCGCGTTCGACTTTAGCGCTGACCGCTGTCATTAGTAGCAACTAATTAAGTCGCGTCTGTTCACGCTAAAATCGTAACATGGGTTTATGCGTTTACATCAAGAAAGGTAATCCAGGTTGCGCGCTTACCCGATGGAAAATAACGCGGGCTATTCGTCTAACCAGGCGAACAAGACGGGCTATAAGAAACACAGCTATAGTGCGGCTTTAAATAATTTTCCTGTCCACCATAAAGCAACCGTTACAATCAGACCGCGACTAGAAAATTATTTTAAATTTAGTTGCTAATGACAAGTATAGTGCTACCTTTATAAGCAAAATGTGTTTACAAAATCGCATCAAAGTTTGGGGGACTGCGAAACAGAAATTAATTAAGGATAGAGGATAAAATCTGTGAATCATGAACAAATCTATTGCACATAGGTGCTATATCACCCTGGCTCAGGCACTGGGAATGTCAATGGGAGGAGCACCGTCGGGGCCTGCCGGAACGGGGAAGACAGAAACTATCAAGGACATGGGACGCTGTCTAGGGAAGTACGTCATTGTGTTCAACTGCTCCGATCAGATGGACTACAGGGGCCTGGGTCGGATCTTTAAAGGTATATTCTCCCGGACAGCTGCTGTAACAACGGAGTTTTCGTAACAAATTGATACCAGCTGTAACGCTAGGTAAACGACGAAACGACGGAATGACAACGGCGTCACATTTTCAACATAAATTATGTCTAAATCTCACACAGGGGAGAGTTGTCTACCGCTAGGCAATGCTACGACCGACATCTGTAGCCTTTTCGTGTGGGCAACACATTTACCTCTGGCCTTCCTTTTCCTATAGATAGTCTACATTTCTTCTGTTATGACTACCAAGAATAACCTTCGTTCAATGAGAGATAAACAAAATTCTGCCGACGAGATCATTCGGCGTGGTTCTATCATCTCCAGTTATGTGACTAGTAACTGTGGCTAATGGCGATACCCGTGTTAGGAACACCTTCTTGTAATGGATGGCTAGCGATCGTCTCTATATGAACGACTAAATGTTCTTTCGTCTGCACGTACAGGACTAGCGCAGTCTGGCTCCTGGGGCTGCTTTGACGAGTTTAACCGCATTGAACTGCCAGTGCTATCAGTCGCTGCTCAGCAGATCGCCGTGGTTCATTCAGCAAGGAAGGACAAGAAGAAGCAGTTTACATTCACGGACGGTGACACGGTCTTCCTCAATCCAGAGTTCGGCTTCTTCCTTACTATGGTACCTGCGTGTTGAGAGAACCCGCTCCATCTCGCAAGTCTCAGAACCCATATGTTGTATCACGCATCTCAGAACCCATATATCGTCTAACGCATCTCAGAACCCATATGTTGTCTCACGCGTCTCAGAACCCATATATCGTCTAACGCGTCTCAGAACCGCGTAATTAACAATCTACATCTCGCATGTCTCAGAACCCTTCCTACGCGGGACGGGTGGAGCTACCGGAGAATCTGAAGGTGCAGTTTCGCTCCGTATCGATGATGGTTCCGGATCGACAGATCATCATTCGCGTGAAGCTAGCCAGCAGCGGCTTCCAGAACAACGTAGTTCTTGCCTCCAAGTTCTACACACTGTACGTCCTGTGCGAGGAACAGCTAACCAAACAGGTGAGGCGCAAGCAATAGGTGATAATGGAACTATATTCAGCTATGAAGACGGAACCACAAGCATTTTCGTGTTCACTTATCTTGTAGTTTACTAATTTATAGAATAAACAATAATTACAGTATCATTACCGCATCACATTACACTCTCAAGGCTATAGTGTACTACATTATGTATCACTAAGATTAGGGTGTACTATTTGCAAGCCGAATACGAAATTGGTACGTAACAACGTAACGATGGTTGCCGTGACGAAGCCTACATCGTTTACTTTATGCCTAATAAGTAATGAGTTGCTATGCCTAATTAGTTACTATGCCTAATACCGTCCAACAGTTTTACGATAGACGGATAGCCGGTTTAACGTACGCGCAGCTACAACGTACCGTAGTAGCGGCAACGATTAGTTTTAGACATTACATTTTTCTCAATGTTACGGCATGAGCTTTAGAAAAATAGTCTCTGGATAGTATTCAATTTTGTACACGGCCTGCCGGTCGATTGAAAACTGTCTTATTAGGGTCTCGACGATTGGGGACACTATAAATTTCGCTCCCTATCATAACTCTCCGTCTGAAAGAACGGCCACTAATGGCAACGGACGCTCACTAACGGCAAGGGGCAGTCACGAGCGGTCACTGCCTTGTAATTAATTACATTTTGCTCGAACAGGTACACTATGACTTTGGTCTGAGAAACATACTGTCAGTGCTACGGACGCTAGGGGCATTCAAGCGTTCAAATCCCCAGGACAGCGAATCAATGATCGTCATGCGTGTTCTACGAGACATGAATTTATCTAAGCTGGTATAATTCGCATTGCTTTTGTTTTTGCGCTTGCTGCTGGTTTCATAGCGCAAACGTTTTGTTTTTAAAGTATAGTATAGATAAGTATAGTATCGTAAAGTATAGATATTAACGGGAGCTAATAATGACAAATAATAAAAGTTGTCATTATTAGCTCCTGATACTAATATTAGTAGTAGGGTATGATTTCTCATGGTTTGCTTGCAATATCTATATAGTATAGTTAGTATATTATTTATAGTATTTATAGCGTGTTAATCCTAATCTGGGTCGCACACATAGGAACTGTTTGGATGTATAACTTGGACAAGCGGCCCAAAGAAAATCAGATAAAAATCTAGCCCAAAGACGCTGGCGCAATACAAAACATTTCAGCTTGTGCTTTCGAAATGTACTTGAAATAGCAGCTAAAAAACAGCGTTTTGTTATTTTATGTTAGCCTGCCATCAAGTGCCGCGCGTTCATCAAACATCGATTACTAGTTCATTTATTTCTCCCTATGAAGGTGGACGAGGACGAGCCACTGTTTCTGTCACTCATCAACGATCTATTTCCGGGCATGAAGCTCGACAAGGGCCGTTACCCGGACATCGAAGCCGCTATCCAGCAACAGGTATGCTGCCAGCTTCTATGCTGCGTTCTCATATACACCAAGACGTCCTAGCGATTTTGAATAGTTGACTAATATTTAGTTTGACAGAACGATGTTCTAAATTCGAGTAATCATGTACATTTTTTAGACACGAAATAACCCCCAAACCATATTTATTTCATTGATTTCTTGTTTGACTTGCAACAGTATGTGTATTTTAAGTTGCTTTACCAATAGTATAGTTCAATAATATCAAGAGCGTATAAAGAAGCCTACTTTATACGCTCTTGATAATATGCATTATCACGTATTCAGTGCAGGGTATGAAATGTTGTATTATATAAGCCAACTGATATATTACTGTTAAGAAGTGGTGTATGAAAATCTTTGTCATAACGACAACGCCCCTCGCATAATATTAGTGAAGATGCACATACGGCAATATGCTTCCAATGCCAGACTCTCGATGCCTCTTTGTTCCATTGAATAACCTCGGCTAACTATTTCACACGCTCTTACTAGGTTACCAAACTTGGATTGATAAATCATGAGCCATGGGTACTGAAGTTGATGCAGCTATACGAGACGCAGCGAGTGAGACATGGTATGATGACCTTGGGCCCGTCTGGTTCTGGCAAGTCTACTTGCATACAGGTGAGAAACAGCATCTTAAGATGCTTATGTATAAATATTTATAAATTTATATAGGATTTGTGAAAGTTGATTATCAACTAATCGTTTCATTGATCATTGATTATCTGATTATTGATGTTTATCTCAGTGATCTGCCTACTTATTCACGTAGTCGCCTGACCCTCCGTGCTATGCCCTGAAATATTGCATTCCCGATTTTTGCGTCTCCACGTGCTCACTTATTTGCCTCCCCCATAACATTGCCTTAGTGGCTGTTTTCCTTCATATCTGCCTATAGCAATACTGTTTTTTTGCGCTTCCAACGCATCTGCGACATTCTAGGTACTGATGAAAGCCATGACAGAGGTGGGCGTTCCACATAAAGAAATGCGTATGAATCCCAAAGCAATCACTGCCGCTCAGATGTTTGGTAAGCTGGATGTGACTACCAATGATTGGACGGACGGCATCTTCTCGGCCCTTTGGAGAAAAACGCTCCGGACTAAAAAGGTTCGTCTTCTATTATCGATAACATGCGCACGACGTGATAGTAGCCTATACGTAACGAAAATAACACAACGTAGTATTCGATGTAACGTAAATAACACAACGTAGTATTCGATGTAACGTAAATAAAACAACACGATAGTATACTAACGTAAACAACACAACGTAACGTAGCGCCAATCAAAATACAATATGGACATTATATTGACACACACACACACACACACACACACATACATATTTAATTACATAGCATTGTCGCGGCACTCCGCATATATGAGCACATCGCACCGCAAATGAAGTCTACCGTTTCCAACATGTGATAATTAAATCGCGTGTGTCAGACATTTCTATCCTTATATAACTCTAACCCTACTCATAATCATAACCTATAACCCTAGCTCTAACATCCCTCTTAATCCTAACCCATAATCCTAACCCTACTCCTGATCATAAGTTATATGTCTAACCTCAAATCTACAACACGTAATCTTGACCTCATCTCAAACCGAAACCTAACCTGGCAGCTTTCGTCATGGGTCCCGTCTCATGCGTCAGGGCGAGCACACGTGGATCGTACTCGATGGACCGATCGACGCCATATGGATCGAGAACCTCAACTCCGTTCTGGACGACAACAAGACGCTGACACTCGCCAACGGTGACCGCATCCCGATGTCGCCGAGCTGCAAGGTTATCTTCGAGCCGGACAACATCGAGAACGCGAGTCCGGCGACTGTGTCCAGAAATGGCATGGTCTACATGAGCTCCTCGGTGCTCGACTGGAACCCAGTGCTGCGAGGTCCGCACCATACGCTGTATCGTGCCAAACGTGATGTTTAATATTGCGTTTGGTTTTTAATTCAGTAGTAGTGTGTTGAATGATAAACAGCGATAAATTTGTTGCGATTGTTTTACCTTTGTTAATGTGAACATCTTGTGAGGCTGCCTACGAAGGAGCCTAACTTTTAATAAACCCAAACGATTTTGAATTCAAAAATATAGAGAGAGTAATTCGTGGAAGTTAGAAGCGCATCGTCAGTATAAGAAGGCCGTTCTCATATAAGTTTTTAACTAGCCGATTTTTGTTTAATACGAGGTGGGAACCATAATTTATTGAACAATATCACTTTATTCATCGACTGCTCCTGATATTCATGGCGTCTTACCACATGGTCCATGTCCTGACTTTAGACGGGGGATCAGCTTTCAGAAAAGTAATGAAATAGCCTAAACGCGACTTTTACTGTGCATGGTTACAGCGTGTTATTATATTGTGTTTTAAGTATCTCGGGTTTTATAGCTTGGATGAAGAAGCAACCAAAGGGCATGGCAGATCGGCTACTGAATCTTTTCCAATGGAACTTTGAATCGCTGTACAACTTTGTGGAAGTGCACTTGAATGCGAAAATGTCGGTAGGCACAGTAGAAATTTAGTCATGATTTTTTGCCGCTATACGATAAAGTCTCAAAAAAACTCAATGATTTCAAACTTCAAAAATTTATGAAGATGAAGCCAAATATATAGCAAGAAGTGCAGGAAGTTTGCTTCCATGAACTAGGTTTCCAGCAACTATGTGGGGGAAAATACCAAGACATTTGTTTAGTAATGTTACTGCTAAGCCATTAATTCGATTTCCGTGCCCTGATACCAGATTGATCATTACAACAACTTACGTTTTCACCCATCGAATAAAGCATTACAACAACTCTCCTACTTCTCCGGCCACCAGGTGTTGCAGATCAACTACATCAAGCAGGCGATCAATTTGCTAGAAGGTCTAATTCCACGCGACGGTGAGGGCAATGTGCGTGATCACAACCCTGTTCTGCTGGAGAGGTTGTTTGTCTTTACCTGTATGTGGTCACTGGGAGCTCTACTAGAGACGGATGATCGTAATAAGGTACATTAGCGATCAGAAGGGCGGGATAGCACTAAAGATGAGTTACTGCAACAATGTGCTTTGGGTCACATGGGAGGGCCTAATAACTATTGTGTTCCTGATTGAACTTGAGCTTTTAAGCCATGTCATGGCTCGTGTAAACTAACTAAATTTTTGCAATTAAATTTTATGTACATGGATGTCACTACGTGCATACTTGACGATGCAGAAGGGATGCTACCCCTAGAACGTTGTAGGAGGAAACCCTAACCCTAACCCTAACACCATCTAAATTAATTTAAATTTCAGCTGCAGGAATTTTTCTACCAGCAAAAAAGAATGGACATGCCACCAGTTAATAATGACGACGAGTCAACGATGTTCGACTACTTCGTTGACAGCAGAGGTAGCTGGCAACACTGGAAGACAAAGGTGATGATTTAGAGAAACTTGCTAAACAGTCACAAAATAGCCGCTGATGTAGTCATGAGTACTGAAACGTGTGTAATATGTGCGAGCTTCTATATTTTAAGTATATTTTTGCTAATTGTTCTATGCATACATACATACATACATACATACATACATACATACATACATACATACATACATACATACATACATACATACATACATACATACATACA